GCGATAGAAGAGCCAGATCATCTGCGAAGTTTAGATCATCCAATTGCATCCTAGATATCCACTGTATCCCGTGCTTCCCTTCAGATGTTGATGTCTTCATGATCCAGTCGATCACCAGGAGAAAGAGAAAGGGTGAGAGTAAGCAACCTTGCCTGACACCGGTCTTTACCTTGAACGACTTTGTCAACTGTCCTCCATGCACGATTTCGCAGTTTAATTCTTCTTAGGAATTCTGTATGAAATTGACTATCTTCTGAGGCACGCCGTAGTGTCGAAGAAGCTTCCATAGGGTTGTTCTGTCCACTCTATCAAATGCTTTTTCGTAGTCAATGAAGTTGATATAGAGTGATGAATTCTATTCAATTGATTGTTCCACAATGATCCGTAGAGTTGCGATTTGATATGTACACGATCTTTCTTTACGGAATCCTGCCTGCTGGTCTCGAAGTTGTGTGTCTACGGAGTCCTTCATCCTGTTTAACAATACCCTGTTGAAGACTTTTCCTGGTATTGAGAGAAGAGTGATTCCCCTTTACTTATCACCGTCGCTGAGATCGCCTTTCTTTGGTATTTTGATCAGAAGTCCTTCTTTCCAGTTTTTTAGTACTTGTTCCTCTTCCCAAATCTTACTGAGGAGAATGTGGAGTATCCTTGCAGTAACTGCTTCGTCTGCTGGGATGTTATCTGGTCCTGCTGCTTTGCCACACTTGATTTGTCTGATGGCCATGCTGATCTCTTCAAATGTTGGTGGGCTAACATCGATTGGTAGGTCCGTGAGGGCAGCTTCGATGTTGGGTGGGTTCAGTGGGGCTGGGGGATTCAACAGTTCTTTCAAGTGTTCTACCCACCTGTTTCGTTGTTCTTCAATGTTGGTGATTATCTTGCCTTCCTTGCTTTTCACTGGTCTTTCTGGTTTATGGTAATTTCCAGAAAGTTTCTTTGTTGTGTCATACATTTGTCTCGTGTTTCCTTTTCTTGCAGCCTTTTCCGCCGTCATTGCTAAATCTTCCACATACTTATGTTTGTCAGTTCTGATGCTCCTCTTCATTATCTTGTTTAATTCTGTGTATTCAGATTGTGCGTTGGCTTTTTCTGCTCTTGTTCGACTGGTGTTGATTGCTGGCTTCTTGTTCCTCCCTTCTTGAATCTTATCCAGTGTATCGACAGTGATCCATTCCTTGTGATGGTGCTTCTTTTGGCTCATGACATTTTGAAGTGATTGTCTCTTTCATCTCTTTCCAGTTGCTCTCCATAGTAGTTCCTTCTCCATTGAGTAGATCATGAAAGGCCTGGAACTTATTGCTGAGGGATATCTTGAATTTGTTGAGTTCGTCAGTATCTCGATGAAAAGCCGTATTAAACTTTTGTGATATTGTTCGCCCCGTTGTCCAGTGCTTCTTGAGTTTCAATTTCGTCTTGACTGACCAGCAAGTGATGATGAAATTATGTCAAGTCGTGTAAATATATATATATATATCTATATATATATATATATATATATATGACAAGAGACAAACTCATTGTTTATCGTCTAGGAAATCAGATAATATAGGAGCATCACCAACTATTTGTTTGGCATTTATTTGCCGTCACATGCCATTATTTGTTTAGACTAAAGATTATATGTCATGTACTAGCATAAACCTGTATATAAAGGGAATTGGAACACTTGTTATTCATTAAACCTGATAGATAGGTCGGGTAAAATGCTAATCCAAGTGGTTGAATTTACATTCTTTATTAAAAATAATTAAATACCGAGCCCTGTTATAGTTAACTCGGGGTACTTAAACAGTTTCACTGTACAATTCATCTTACTATACGGAGAACTCGTTGAACGATATAAATACGCAAACGTCTCATCAATTGGTATGAGAAAACAGGCAATGTTATGTTTACATTGAATAAAAAGATAAACAATCTTATTTTCAGCTATAATTCCTTCATTCTAACAATAAGTTGTTTTATGAATACTAACCTCTCATCTTTGATTTGTACCATCCCCTAGAAGGACTTCCATACGAGTTTTGAAGCTGTCGAGTTGTACGAGATTTTCAGAATTTTCGAAAATTCCTTCACTTTCATATGTTACCTCCAATATTCATGAACATTATTTTGTTGGAGACTGACTGGTCTTCTGCATTGTAACTTTCAGGGGTTTTCTAAAATCGTTCAGCAGTAAAGCAAATGTTAAACCCAGCTATACACATCGAAAATGCAGTTTTAGGATGTCTAAAGACTTAAAAAGATGGTTTCGATTAAGTACCGATAGATTACATGATGTCTATAATTTGGTCTGCTGCTTACCCACCCTGTGCCAGTTATTTCCTTAATTTAGAGTTCACTACCACTTTTCCTTTCCAAAAACCTCTCCACAATAATAACTTATTGTCAGGTCAATCTCAATTATTCTGAAAATTTAAAAAACTAATGTCCAAACTTTTCTTCTGTTAAGTGTGTTCGTAGTATGAAACTTTACAGTGCCATGATCAAAAATGGTTACAGCTCAGAAACCACAATTCTTTTTTTAGATGTTATTATCTACTGAGTACCTATCAAATACACTGAAACTAATTCAATTAGACTAGTCAAAATTTCTGAGGGGTCTTCTATAATAAAAACAAAGATGGATGATACCAACATCCTTATCATAGTTCCTTCTGTGTCAGAGAAGTCAATATTACTTACTCAGTATAAAGCGTCGCTTTACGAATATAATATCTTGTTGGAGAAACAGTCAGACAGCGTCGCGCTTAGACTGCGTATTTACAAATGAAGAATTTCTAGTTAACAACGTCCGAATCATGGCTCCCCTGGGGAAAAGCGAACTGATCTAAGATATCCTAACAACAACAGGCGCTGAAATTTCAAACGGTTGAATGTGTGAGCTCTACAGAGCTATCTACAACGGGTGTATTGGGATGTTCACCCTCAACTTGATGTGGGTGATCATTGGGACTTCTTACTGCACACGTTCTTAAATGCTACAAAGAAGTCAGTTCCTCAAATGGTCCCAAAAAGCCACAATCAACCTACAATCATCAAAAACCTCACTCTTTGTTTGTTAAGCTGCAAAATGCACTTTTGGGCAGAATACAAACGAACTGACAACAATGGTGCGTACAGGCAATACAAACATATAAGGAACATATGCACGAAGGCTATAAGAGAAGACAGGTTTCAAGCCAAAACTGGAGTTTTCCAACTGCTAGATCCCAACGGTCCGACCAATAACGACGATAACGCCGTTAACCTTTTGGCTGAACAATACTCTCGGATATTACAACCGACCCACATCAACTATACTGACGAAAGCTTCATCTCCAACTGCAAAGGATTTTCCATAGTGAACCTGAGCGTTGACATGGAGTTCCGGAAACTGCAGCGCCTAAGAAAAGACACTTCTCCTGGTCTGGATATGGTTCATTCTGCTATACTGAAGTAAGCAGCTTCAATCCTGGCAACGCCGCTTAGCGTGATGTTCTCACACTCGCTAAGTCGAGGAAAACTACCGGAAATTCGGAAGCTGGCTCATATCACGCAAATTTTCAAGGGGGGACGACGCAGCGAAACTTCAAGTTACCGACCGGTGGCTTTTCTCTCTATACCATCGAAAATTATGTGGTCCTTGATATGCGATGGTATCCACGACTATTTACTGTCCTTGAATTTCTTCTCACTCCAACAGCATGGTTTCAGGAAGGGTTACTTTTGTATAACCAACCTGCTGACTGCAGTGGACGGATGGACAAGCATCCTCGATCGCAAAGGGAAGGTTGATATTATTTACTTTGATTTCTCAAAAACGTTTGATGGGGTTGACCATATATGTCTTATCAATATGTTCGAACGATTGGGTATCAGAATACCTCTAATTGATTGGCTCATTTCATACCTGAAAAATTGACGCTTTAAGGTTAGGGTCAACTTCGGTTTATCTCAGGTTATGGAATGTCCTAGTGGGGTCCCTTATGGCTCAGGACTAGGACCTCTTCTCCTCTTGATTTATATTAATGATCTTCCTCAACATGTATCCTCGGGTTTATTACTTTTCGCTGATGACGTGGAACTTAGGAGGGAGATGCGCTACCAAGACGTTATACAGGCACTTCAGGAGGGTCTGACTCGACTTCAAATTGGGCAGACGATAACACACTTGCCTTTAACACTTCAGAATGTAAAGTAGTCCATCTGAAACATGTTGCAGACTACAGTTACACCTTAGGAAACTCCTCTTTAAAGGAATCCCAAGTTAAAAAATATTTAGGAATGCTAGTAACCTACGATTTGAAGTCTTACGCCAACTGTGACAAAAGTGCCTTTCGAGCAAACTTTGCATTGGTAACATTGGAGCGCATTTTTTCCAGTTTGATGGAAGAACTTTCCACATAATCTTCAGCAGTTTTATTCGTCCTTATTTAGAGTATGGAAATATAATATTTCCTGCCTCACTCCAAAAGGATAAGGTCACTCTGCAGCGCATCCAAAGGCGAGCCACGAAATCAGTTCGGGGACTCAAATTTAAACCTTATGAAGAGCGCCTCCAGTCACTTAAACTTTATCCACCATTAATTTATAGGCGTCTCAGATCTGACATTCTGATAGCTTACGGTATTTTTAGCACTTCTTGAGATCTTCTTAAACACCTACTTAAGCTTAGTCCCAATACTAACCTAAGGGGTAACACCCAGAAATCGGAGACACAACATAGCAGAACGGATTGTAGATACAACTTCTACTCCTTAAGAGTTGTCATATGTTGGATTTTCCTGCCAGCTGAGCTAGTCCAAGCGACTTCCCAGGAGTCCTTTAAGAGGCAACTATTCTTAAGGACTAAGGGTAGTATCTTACTTTGATTTACCAATTTCTTATTTTCTTCTTTTATCGTTAAAATACCTAGGTTATGCCTGGAAGTATAGGTGATCCCCTGCTACTAGACAACCATTTGAACCATTTTAATCTAATTGAACTTTGGATTAAATCAGCGAAAACACATTCGACCTTAACCTGGCGGACACTTTCCGTTGGAAACGGTAAGAAAATATTATAGTGTGATGATAAGATCATTGACTTTCAATTCATTTGGAATGCATTAAATATACCAACGGTATGTCTTTATCAACATTAATTCAATGATGAAGACACTGATAATCCATGGTCCCAAACGACAAGTACTGTGAACCAAAGTTCATTGCAGTAGTTGCCTCAGTTTCGCATATTTATTTTTATAATACCTTATTTATTCGTTTTTATTGAATATTCAGTCGAGGCCAGAGGTAAAATGTCTTTGATCTCTTAAAGAGAAGGAGAACACTCGTTATTTTCGTACTCTAAATTCACTTAAACATCATGATGTCTAGTAAATCTTAGGATATAGATGAAACGTTCTACTATAAAACTGGAATAAGGTGCCTCAGAAATTTACTTTTACAGGGCTTATTGTAAAGGCATTTTTCTTCCGGTCAGCTAAGGACTTCGGAATATAATATAACAAAACTTCTGGAACTCTGTCAACCATACGACACTTCTAGAGCGCAATATTGTCTAATTTGTATGTGTAGTTGGCAAAATATCTCAGCCGGAATCGCTTTCACACTAATATTGAAATTAAGTTAAGTCAGGCTACGCCATGGCATATAGTCCCGTAGTTCGGTATGGCGAACTAACAACTTTGTCACCAACTGATCACTGGTTCTGGAAACGTCTAGCTAGAAAGGCTTTGATCTATTTGGCAGGTGGTTACGATTAGGTTTGTTTTGGTGATTATTGATCGACTTATTCTTAGGAAAATGAGGCCGCTAGGAACATTAGTTTTCGGATCATTGTACAAGACCCCATTGGGGCTTTCTGTGGATTGGGAGATTGTGGAGTCTCCCCCCCTCACCTTAAAATTTTGACTATTTAAATGTTTAATTTGGTCTATCAATGACAAATTACCTTTCTTGTTAAGCTTATTGATAGATGTATATGATCGACTCTATCAAAAACTTTAGAAAACTCAAAATATATTACATTCGTCTTCTCTTTTTAATTCAAGTCTTAGGCAGAATAATAGTTGGAAATAAATCCTTGCGTCTTACCTAAAGAAGCTATTCCTGATAAGTTATTTTATTACCAACACGAATTACGTTCATTTTAACATGTTTAATATTCGTTTTAAATAAAAATAAAAATAATAAAGATGAGTAGGAGGTAATGTTGACAACTGGATTATATTAATTTTTGAGGTGAGTTTAAGTGTGAGTGCATATATACAACCAAACGAGATCTCGTGTAGTGTAATTCTCAGTATACAATACACTAGATATTCTTGTACTTCCTAGTTTCTCACACTTCAGTATATATATATATATATATATATATATATAACACATCTTTTGCAGGTATTTTAAAATATCGTTGCTGAAAGATGTGCAGCCCTTTGTATGATGTTTTGGAATCCTATGAATCTGGGGTAAGTTAAATGGGAAAATTACGCGAATTAGCAGAAATTCAAAAAGGGATCTGTTCGAGCGAGTAAGTGGATGGGTTACAGAAATGAGAGTATGACATTTGATGAAATTATGGAACAAGTTGAAGTTGCTTTTGCCGAAAAATTCGGTAATTTTTCTTGTTTTATATGTTAATGTGTAAAATATTTTGGTTTTGGATTTTCGCTTCATTTTTGTACATTAGAAAGCATTTTAAAGCTTTAGTCTTACGTTTTGCTATTTATTGCGATATGCAGTTAAAATTGGAGTATCTAAAAGATAACTTGTCTATTTTAAAACCATCACGTTCACTTTGTTTTTGATCAGTATATTGTGATCAGTTTGTTAGAGTATCTAAACCACAAATAAGACCGCTTCAAAGATTATAGCTTGGTGTTTGACTTGTGAACTTTTCATTTGCCTTATTGTCCCAGGTTTTTCCATGGTTAATTATTTACTTGTTACTCTAGTTTTGTACAGCTTGTGACTAACCTATGTTCACATTGTAATTTAATATTTGTTTTGCCGTGTGGCTAAATATTTTAATCATATTATTAAATTAATTTTGACTCATGACTGACTCAAATACAATGGAGAACTGGTCTGCTTTCTACCTTCGCTTTATGGTTGATCACTGAGTTAGGATCTTGATGACCAATAAGCGTTAATCTTTGTTGATGTTCACTGATCGGTGTGCCAATTGGTAAATAGATCTTTAGTTATACTAACGGGTAAACTAGTCATTAATCAAACTACAGAGATCATATAACTACTTTTCTGTCATAACAGCTCAGCTATGCATCAAAACCTAAGCAAGCAATATGTATTGTCTCGACATAACATATCTTTCAATAGCTACATAAATGTATAAAAATCCACTTTGGTTAAAACTATACATTATGCTGATTTGTGTTAGTCGTAATACAAATAAAGAAACCAGACAAATCAAAAGCAAGCTAAATGCAGTGTATTTAATAGATTTAATTTAATGCGAGTGTTTAAAACTTGACTTGATTGAGTTTATTTTGAACGATTTTTTGTATACGGTATTTTAATTAGGCTCAAAAGATTGCAATAAATATCCAACTGTTGTGGAAATCAGACCAAGTGGAGGACCTGCTTGCGAATCATTATTCACGGTACTTCGACACATGACAGATGATCAGATTAGCATGAAAGCGTGTGGTAAATCAGCTGATATTTTCCAAAGCGATTGGTCTAATTTCTCCGTTTATATAAAGTAAGAATTTCATGTATATTATTGGTACATTCTGCAAATTTATGTGTGTAATAAACTTAATGCCCGTGAATAAAATACTTGCATCATACCAGGTGAAACAAAGTTTGAACTCATAGTCTTATAATACGATTGTATAGTACCCTTGTCTCTACATGTGTGGTGTGTGTTACTTATGTCGATAGACATAAGTAATATGTAACACCAATCATAAATTGAATGACTGGCAGCAGAATGCCAAGAAGATCGAGTTGAAGAGAATAGAAGAGGAAATAGGAAGAAGTTGTGAACTGGAAGAATCACAGAAAGTGTGAAGTGCAAATGATGGCGATTCGCAAATTAAGTATTCAATTTATGGTTTTCATATTTTACCAAAATATTCTGTAGTTTTGTATTAAAAATACATTGGTTGTCCCCACTTGTGTTCCCGCTCACAACACGTTCCTATCAACGGACCATTTGTATAGGACCTTGAAGTTGCTAGACGTTCCTGTATTTTTCGAAAATATAAGTACTGGATTTCTTTTAGAATTATGATTTCTGGAAGAAAGAACGGGAAATCGTCGTTTTGTAAATGAGGATACATCTTTGAAACTCCCTTGGGTAGTTATATCGTTGCTATAGCTTCGTTAGCGTCTTATATAAAGTGCAGTCAGTTTTTCAAAAATCTCCCTCTATTGTTTAGCAAACAAGTTGTAATTTACCTCTATAGTTTTAGGATAATTTTAACGAATATTTTTCAACTTTGTTATTAAGCTCTTACGATAGCTTTTTTGACTTGGTTATTATCAGTAAGAGGCTATGAATATTGTTGAATTACATTGAAATCATGAGTAGATCTAGGCCAAACCACTTTTGAAATACTGGAAGCACCGAAAGGGAGTTTCGTCCTAGTATAGGATTCCTCAGTAATGTGCGTTCGCAACCACGCGACCAGGGATCAAACCCGGGACTTTCACACAGGTTAATTATTTGTACGTTGTGTTGGTTATCACAGGTCTACTTTTTCCCGGTGTATACAATACGGTAAGTAGTTTACTCGATCATAAACACTCGAATCTTGGTGTATCTACTTCATTTTAATAATTTAATTAGTATTGTTAAACGCTACACGTTATATATATATATATATATATATATATATATATATATATATATTTGTATTCAGTAAATATTATCTACACTGGTTACTGAAATGTAACAGATAGTACACACTGAACATTTTGTACATCCCGATCCCTTGGTAAATTTAAATGATGCGAGAAGAACAAGATTTGTGGTATAACATGAATTCATTATATATCAAGGTTTATGGTCAGCTACAAACAACCTAAAGTTGCATTGGTAGTATTTATGTACCATAAACAATAAAATTTATTTCAAAGCAACATAAGAAATAAATTTAGGAAACAGCATGATTAACGTTACACATTTGTTAAAGATGAAGTAACATCATGAAGGGGCGCTTTCGCCTTAACCTTTGTACAAATAATGAAAGTGTGGTAGACCTCTCGTTGACACGGCCAAATAGTTATATGATTTTAGCTTTTGTCAATTACGTTATCTCTTTGTTGTTAACGTTCATTTACATTGTTGACTTTAATTTTATATCAGCTATGTGGCTTGATTATTGCTCATTTGTTTTTATTCAATGTCCCTTTTATCACCATTTACAACTTCAACCCCTTCTCTCCTTTGATGATATCATCTTTAACAGATGAAATACTGATTAATTTTATATGGAATATGTTGTTCCCTCTTCTTGTTTTGCATGTCACTTTTAACTAAATTTTATTAATTTCAATTTATAAATATTATTAAGGTAACTTTAGGCCTTGATAGCCTATAATTAAGCTTGAAGTGTAATGAATTCATGTTATGCAGTAGATTTTACTCTTCTCACATTATTTATAGTAAACATTGTTCAATGACTTAATTTATATTTTATTTACTAAAAACATTTCCATCTTGGATTCTTTTGAATATACGCGCAGACGTTTCCATTTAAATTCTATTAAACAAGATGAATTTATGGATGAAACAAAGGATTTTATTGAACAATTATCAGAAGGTAATTTTAATTATATGCCAGAACCATATTATTGGATTATATATGATCCATCATTAAAAACTGGTGAAGATGGCAATGCAGAGATTTGGTTAAAAATTGAATAACACTATAATTGCCTTCAAATGTTTTACTATTGGAACTTTTGTCACTTATCTACCTTACATGAAAAATGGAATTTAATGTATCTATTCATTATATTCTGAATCCAACTTAATTATTTTATCATTCCCCTTTCATTGAATATTCTCTTTTATTGGTTATTGGTATAAATATAAACGTAGTTTCGCTAATCTATCTATTTGTGCATGGGCTCTTGTATTTTTTAACCACGAAAATTTGTGTCTGTTATTATTACTACTATCGTTGATCACCGGCTACCATGGGACAGCATCTCCTTACGATGCTCCACTGCCTTGTATATCAGACCTTCAGGTCGAAGGCTCAGGGTGTGAACTCCTAAGTAAACCACCTGCTTCGGTTGGGGCACCCGGGCAGTATCACAGGCCTCACACATATCAAATGAGATTTGTGTGGCGCATATGTATTCGGTACTTCCTTGTATCAATATCTATGTGTTAAAATAAATAAATAAATAAATAATATTTACTCTTCAAAACTATGAAGAGAACTATAACAGTGGATTTGTTCTTACTCAAATAGAAAGTCATTTCAATGTTGTAAAATACTAAAGATTAATGCTTGTAATGGAAGTTCAAGTTACTTTATCTCAAAAACGATACTATATGGAAAAAAAAACCTGGGAAGTATTCTCTTGATACTTCACAAAATTATATACCTCATACTGCAAATGTATTGGGGTTGGATATAAGGATAACTGAATTTTAAATCAGTGATCTAAATGTGTGTTTTGCTCTGTGGGAAATTTGAAAGTATTACGTTTAATCAAATGTGTAGTAGTCGGTGACATATTTGATCAAAAGTACGAAAATTGTTTAAACAAAGAGTGTAACAATACAAACTTATATGAGAATGAAGATTGTATATGTAGTAAGTAATTTAGGGAATATGTTGTGTATTAAACCTCAGGCTCGTTATAGAATATAATTTAACCTCTTTCAAGTTACTTTATTGTATTACTTATGATATGTGAACAGAAAATAGCTTATATGACGTATCAAATTAAACTTGACATATTTCATTCAATGTTATGTGTTAAGAACGGCATTAAATATGACTATTTGGATGGACAGTAATGCTTTATTCTCTTTTGAGCATAGTAAGGTTTGGCAATATTTGAGAAACGTTTAAAATTTGTCTTTACATTTTGAAAAACAAAATTCTGGATTATTCTGATATTCATAATATCCATTTGGTATTTTCAAACAATAGTATGCACTGCTATTGCTGATTTAATTCAAGGATTCTCGAGTTTTACAGGATTAATAGATCTTTTAGTCTAACTTAAATGTTCCTTGACATTAGTTATGATTTCGTGAGATGACTGTCGAATATAGTAGGCATTACAATCTACATATTCTAATCTGTAGACACAGTTCTGTACTTGAGGTGTGAAGGATTTTTCTTTGATTCTTATGAAAATATTTCATAGATTAGTAGTTGTTTTATAGTAAAGTTTAATCCTATCTAGTTTAAGGAGTCATTTTCGTCCTACCATGGCACTATGCTAAACTTGGAATGTACCTATTATTCAATTAATTCGAAGTTATGAAATCAGACTTGGGTACTGATTCCTAAGCAGTTAGTTGAAGTTGTGACTAAGCTAATCAATTACGTAACATTTTATTAAAATAATTAATTTCTTATTGAATAAACTTGTTCTTCTTTATTTGGCCATATCGCATGTCCTGAAAAAGATTATCTGTAAATAAATTCAACTAGCAATAAGTGGTGTGTTTAACTATATTTAAGGTCAGTTATAATCTCTAATAAATCAATTTTATTTACATGCAAACGTACAATTATTCATATGATTAATAGAAAATCTATCTATAAAGTGGTTTGTAGAATTTTTTATTTAAAACTATGTTTTAATCATTGAAGCTCAATATCATCTAAGACATTAAATATAAAAAACAACTAGACTTCTGGTAAATCCACTTGCTGCCGTTTTACTTGTATCTTCCGATTGTTATTTGGGACTGTAATTGATGATCAGTCTCTTGTTGGCATATGTGCATCCTTTGAGGATTGTCTCGATATTGCCCTAAGTCCCAAACTTTTTAATCAAAGATGAATAGTGACTAGCAGTGGAATCCAGGACACGCGTTTCATCGTATTTGGGACTCGTCAGCTAAATGTACATGCATCTCCGAGTTGATGTTCACTCCGGGACTCGAACCCAGTACCGTTCGCTTCAAATGCCATCTTGTTATCCCCTTAGCTGACAAATCCTGATAGCACACACAGCTGAAGAGTCCCGAGTGGGACGAAACACACGTCCTGGATTCCACTGATAGTCACTATCCATCTTTGCTTAGATAAACTTCTGTTAGTTTTCATATTTTTAAATTCTTCAATTAAGATATCTCTATTTGATTGGACACAAGAATAAATCCAGAGTCCTTTCATCTTCGAATATGTATTATTTCACTTATTTAATGTTGTAAAATTTGAGGGTGTATATTTTCTGGTATTATTTTTCTTTGTGACATAGTAAAAGCAATCGCAATCATATCCACTACTGTAAATTGTGTAAGTCAAGACTTCTCAATAGAATTTCATATTATCTACCTGTAAACTTATTGTTCAACTAAAGGGTCTGTAAATACTAAATTTATTTAAAGAATGTCAATAAGTGTTTCACTCTAGTTAGGGACTGGTAAGTAGTTCGCTATTTAAATTTAAGAACTGGGAATTACTATTATTTATTCTATTGTGTTCTGAACAAATAATTAATTACCTAAAAAAATTCCATATCTTTACGTTGCTAATGGAAACATTTCAATGTGAACAAAGTACTTAATTTTATTTTAACAATAATTTATTAAAATCTCTTAAAAGGCCATATTTAGGTAGGTCCAATAACCGTTGGTTTGTCACAGTATTGGTGAGTGGTAAAGGCATTCATACCAGTATTTGTCACAAATAAAATAGTTACTTAAACTAAGTTGGTTACTCTCCAAAGATTGTCGAATCCTGTCAGCAAAGTTGTAAATATAGCTATGGATGACTACATTTGAATTTGTTAATTATTAACAAATAATGGAAACATCTTGTATGGTCCTGTTGAGTCGACTAGAAATTCGTGTTTTTTGGGGGGAACTTTCAAACTAAAATAAAATTACAAACTGAGATGGATGGTAGTTAGCAGCCGGATTTACGAAATGACTTTCGTCTCATTTGAGACTCGTCACCTAGACGTATCTGCATCCGGGTTGATATTCAATCTGTGAACTCGAACTCAGAAACTTTCGCTCCAAACCTCATCGTATCATCCATAAGCCAGCAAGCCAAAAAGTGGCTGATCATTTGCAGTCCTAAACATCAATGGGAAGCTCCAGACAACCATTATATATGAATTAAAATCTCAGTTCATACAATTGCACAAGCTAGTTTCTACCTGGATTTAGTAGCTAGATGGATAGTGTGATGGCATTTGAAGCGAAAGGTGTTGGATTCGAGTACCGGAATGTACAGCAACTACGGCATGCAGGTACATTCAGCTTAAGAGTCCCTAACAAAAAGAAACGTACATCCTAGATTCCACTTCGAGACATCCATCTCTTTAAAATGCTTTTGACTTAGTGTCGATACTCAAACAATCCACACAGGGTGGTTGTATATGAAAAGAAACTGATCTGTGGAAGTTTTAAAAAGCAATACGAAAATTCAAACAGCCATCATGTATGAATTTAAATTACAGTGAAATTGCTTTAACTCTAAACTACTGGATTATCCTGTTGTTCATATTTTGACGTCGTTGTTACTTGCCCATTATGTGCGGATTGCTTCAATATAACCATTATGACACAAGTTTATACGAGATAAATGGAATGTAGCTAATAGTGGAATCAAGGAAGCGCGTTTCATCCTGTTTTGGACATATCTACTGTATGTGCCCTCATCCCACAGTTTATGTTAAATCCAGGACTTGGACCCATCAGCTTTCTCAACAAAATTCAATCAAAATATCAACAACAGAATAATTTAAATCATTTCAATTTAGTTAAAATTCATACTCATGACTCAAGTGAGTGACTGTCTGTACCCAGTTGCCAAGAGTCAGATACTAAGTTTGTATACCGAAATGAACGCTAACTCAAATGTAAGTACATCCAGTCAACAAGTTCCAAGTGGGACGATTAGCGCTTCTTGGATTTCACTGTTGTACACACTTCATGTATACACTGAAATCAGATGTGGATTTGAATTTATTTGTATTATTTTGACATTAGTATTAATAGAATTGTAACAATCAATTAACATCAATTTTTGTACACTCTTTTAACTTCAGTTTGTAAGTATGATTTTACTAACAAATCACATCTACAATATGAAAGTATTATTGTCTATGAAATATAGATTATTATTCTTTAGATTAATCAAAAGAAATTCTTTACCCTACTATATGACTATGAACTATAATAATTAGAAAAGAAACAACATAAGTAAACAGATATTCAAATATCCTTCTCAATGAAGTATTTCTAGTTTAGAATTTAATCATAAAGTGAATGATTTAAGATTAAGTGTAAAGTTTTGATAAACTAAAATAATTTACTTAATACATTTGTTAATCAAGATTGTTGAAGACATGTGATTATCATGTGAAAATAAAAGAAGAAAAAGTTGAAAGTTCTTTGTGGTCAAATTAAAAGTAAAATGATCTTTTTCTTTGCTAATCTTTTTAACAAGATTGTTTTCTACGGGATATGGTTGCTGATACCATACTTAACTCTTCTCTTTTACCCCCGGACTTGAAACGGGCAGTAACTTTAGGAGAGCTATAGGCAGAGTTAACTTTAGTTACTCAATTTCGTGGATTAGTTGAAGTTAGACATTAACACCATTGGATGCCGGTCAGCTTAGTGGTCTAGAGGTTAAGCGTTCGCAAGTGAGACTGATAGGTTCTTGGATTTGAATCTCGCGAAGTGGAATCGTGGATGCACACTACTGAGGAGTCCTATACTAGGATAAAACAGCTGACCAGTGTTTGCAGGTTTTCCATGGTGGTCTAACTTCAATTGACTCATGACCTTAACTATTAAGATTTTTATAATATCCACAAAACCCCTTCTGATACTTACTACATTATTAACCTACAGAATATGTTAGAAGTCAGTGTTCTGAAAAATAAAATTTCTCTGTTTCATGACT